AAAAAATGCTCATCATCACTGGTCATCAGAGAAATGCAAATCAAAACAACATTGAGATACCATCTCACGCCAGTTAGAATGGCGATCATTAAAAAATCTGGAGACAACAGATGCTGGAGAGGATGTGGAGAAATAGGAACACTTTTACACTGTTGGTGGGAGTGTAAATTAGTTCAACCATTGTGGAAGACAGTGTGGCGATTCCTCAAGGACCTAGAAATAGAAATTCCTTTGACCCAGCAATCCCATTACTGGGTATATATCCAAACAATTGTAAATCGTTCTACCATAAGGACACATGCACACAAATGTTCACTGCAGCACTGTTTCCAATAGCAAAGACCTGGAACCAACCCAAATGCCCATCAATGATAGACTGGATAGGGAAAATGTGGCATATATACACCATGGAATATTATGTAGCCATCAAAAATTATGAGTTTGTGTCCTTTGTAGGGGCATGGATGGACCTGGAAACCATCATTCTCAACAAACTGACAGAAGAGCAGAAGATCAAACACCGCATGTTCTCACTCATAGGTGGGTGTTGAACAATGAGAACACATGGACACAGGGAGGGGAGCCCTACACACTGGGGTCAGTTGGGGGGAAATAGGGGAGGGACGGTGGGGGGTGGGGAGCTGGGGAGAGATAGCAAGGGGAGAGATGCCAGATGTAGGTGATGGGGAGGAAGGCAGCAAATCACACTGCCACGTGTGTACCTATGCAACAATCTTGCATGTTCTTCACATGTACCCCAAAACCTAAAATGCCATAAAATAAATGGGAAAAAAAATAAAAAACTACTATTCTTCAAGTCACTTATGCTAATTGCCTTCAGATATGATATACTATAGCAATGCTGAAGGTAAAATGGTAGAGTTAATATGTAAAATAAACTTTACCTCCTCTGTGAAACTAATTTAATTCAGTATAATGAGTCCCAAAGGGGCCAGACAGCTGTAGTAGAAGGACTCTTGGATGTTATTTCTAGCTCATATCTACACCAGTAGACCATTAATAAATAGTTTAACCTACCTCTGCCTTTTGTTTATTTGTTTGTCTGTTTGAGACAGGGTCTTGCCCTGTTGCTCAGGCTGGAGTGCAGTGTGATCAAGGCTCACTACAACATCAAATTCTTGGGCCCAAATGATCTTCCCACCTTGGCATCCTGAGTAGCTAGGACCACAGATGCCAAGATAATTTTTTAATTTGTTTGTAGGGATGGGGGTGTCTTACCATGGCTGTTCTCAAACTCCTGGGTTTAAGTGATCCTCCTGCCTTGGCCTTCCAAAGTGTAGGGATTACAGGCATGAGCCACTGTGCCCAGCACCTCTGCTTTTTTTAACTCAACAGTTTTTTGTTTTGGTTTGGCTTTTTTTGGACAGGTATAACAAGTTCAAAAAAGATCTGAATGAATTCCTTATTACTTCTGTTTTATGCTTTGAGAGACTTAGATTGCATTATTGCAGTCTTAATTTTACAAGGCTACCTTTAAACGTGCTAATAGACATTTCTAATGTTTAATTAGAACATTTTTTAAGAATCATTTGCTACAATTGTTGCTAATTAAACACAAAAGAGCCAATCATAGCCATTATTAAATATTACTATGTAGATATATTTAATGAAATATAAAGGTGTATTTAGAGGTTAAATAATTTTTGCATTTTTTCCCTAAATTGGTAAAATAAATACAATGTGTTCAGTAGCTCTACATATAACATCTTAAGTACTAAAAGTCAAAAAATTATCTAAAGTAATATAAAAGCTTATGAATGAACAAACCAACAGATTATACATTAATTCAGTGATTATTTTTTATTTGAAAAGTAAAACTTGGTGATAGTCTATAAAAATATCTATTGAGCATACCTCAACTGTAAAACTCAGTATTTTCACAAATATTACCATAATAGTACCTTCTAAGGGTCCAAATTCAAATGAAATCAGGAAATTCACATCTCTTACCTAATATCTTCTGACAGGAAAGAGCAATCACTAGCTTCATAACTATACACAATGGATCCAGTGAATTCTAAGAAGGGGAGGTCATCTTCAAAAACACTCTTCTGAACACATGCCTTGAGTTTAGTAAATTTCAAAATAGGTACAAAGTTCACGTTAAATAACAAACGTTCACTGAAATAATAAAATTCACTAAAGCATTCAATTTATAGTTCTAAGTGTTATAAATTAATGTTTTTTAAACTAATGAAGTCATAAGGACAACTTAACAAAGATAAAGGCATCCTATTGTAAAGCTATTTTTCCAAAACAAGTTTATTTTCAAACCTCTAATCCCATTTTCCTAAAAGCATTTATTTTCCTGAGGTTTTTTTTTTTTCCTGGTAATTATATTCGTATTGTAGCTGTAATAATAATGTTGCCTTGAAATGCTGGATACTGGCTGGTAAACAAAAAATTCAACAAAGTTAATGTTGTCTAAATTATCTAAACTAGAACAAACTGGTAAAGTCAACCAGGCAACCTGAATACAAAAAGAGAAAATATACACTAAGAATTCTCATTTTGTAAACCCAATTAAAGTTTATTCCAGTTTACACTTTCAACAACTAGGTCCTGGTGAATTCAGACAACAGCAACTCTGACCTAAACAACGACTTGAAGTTTACAAGTAACAACTGACGGCCGGGCGCGGTGGCTCAAGCCTGTAATCCCAGCACTTTGGGAGGCCGAGGCGGGTGGATCACGAGGTCAAGAGATCGAGACCATCCTGGTCAACATGGTGAAACCCCGTCTCTACTAAAAATACAAAAAATTAGCTGGGCATGGTGGTGCGTGCCTGTAATCCCAGCTACTCAGGAGGCTGAGGCAGGAGAATTGCCTGAACCCGGGAGGCGGAGGTTGCGGTGAGCTGAGATCACGCCATTGCACTCCAGCCTGGGTAACATGAGTGAAACTCCGTCTCAAAAAAAAAAAAAAAACAAGTAACAACTGACTCTGCACAGTCAAATATAAATTAAATTTCCCACCTGAAAGAATAGTCAATGAACAATATACCTTTCTTTCTTCTACAGCACATCTTTTATTCTGCACAGACATCCATTCAGGACATTTCCACTGCCGTGGAGTTGTTTCCAATTTTTTTTCATTCATCTTTGAAATGTCCTATTTGCAAAGTCCAAAAAACAATGTCTTGATGACTAAATACAAAACAATATTTGAAAGAAAACTGAGGTAGTACTGTCAATATAAATGAAAACCAAACATTCATATTTAAAGTAAGTTATGACACCTAGGTCCAAGCATAGGTTATAAGAGCTAGAATTGCAAAAGAAAAAAGATACAATATGCTACATCTAATAATTATGTATTTAGTATTTCTTCCTTTTAAAACAAATCAGCCATTTTAACTGACTTATATAATTCTGGCAGTTTCAACATTCCATTATTCTATGACTTTGATCCTTTCTCAAGAATAATTTTATCTCACTATCAAAAAAATCATTTGATACATGAATTATTATGAATTCCCAACATCTTTAATTTTGTACATGATTACTCTGTCTTAAGATCTAAGTAAATTCAGCAAAACTATTAGATTTATTCACAAGTCTATCCAAAGATTTAATTTTGAAGACAGATAATAGCTCTTCTATATTAAGGTTTTTTATTATACTTCTTGCCCAGTAAGTGAACAAATTTCCCTAAGAATGAGATTTTTAGAAGATTTTTTTTTAAATTTGTTAATACCTTTGAGGGCTCTCCTCAATGTAAACCAAAATTCAAATATAATTAAAGACAGTGAATGAGAACCTCCCAAACGTGGTGTGTGCATTAAAAAAAAAAAATAGAACATATTTGTTTTATTAATAGTAAAATGGGGCCGGGTGCAGTGGCTCACGCCTGCAATCCCAGCACTTTGGGAGACCAAGGTGGGCAGATCACAAGGTCAGGAGTTCAAGACCAGCCTGGCCAACATAGCGAAACCCTGTCTCTAGTAAAATTACAAAAATTAGCCTGGTGTGGTGACATGTGCTTGTAGTCGCAGCTACTCAGGAGGCTGAGGCGGGAGAATCGCTTGAACCAGGAGGCAGAGGTTGCAATGAGCTGAGACCATGCCATTGCATTCCAGCCTGGGTGACAGAGTGAGACTGTCTCAAAAAAAAAAAAAAAGTAACACGGATCCCTACCATAATATGACTTATATTAAATTGAAATAGCTTTAATTCAAGGCTTAGTTCTTAATAAATTCCTCAAACTCAACCTTAGTTCCTATTACTTTAGCTTTCATAATAAGGAGGTAGTAGTTTTAATGTAACGCTAAAGAGTCTCACGATGAAACAGGATGTTAATATTAATCACAGCAACTATTTATGATTTGAGAACAGTCTGTTGGATTTGATATTTAACCATATAAATTCTAACAAAATTGAACAATATGCAGCAACTATCCCAAGCATGAATCAGAAACTGAAAATACTTACAATTTATGGAACAAAAATTTTTAAAGATTACTTTATCAAACATAAATTTTCCATATAGAACAAGCTCCATCACTATTGTGCACTGGGAAGGAAAAGGTTAACAGAGCAGGTCTGTAACTCATTCTTGCACCAGTAGGGGAGAGAAGATGAAAGACTTCCACCAAGGTTCCCAGTAAACAGCCTAATGACATCAAACCAGAAGGCAGCCTTGTAAACTTACTAAGGGTTTTTATTAGCAGAAAAATACCAAACGGTCCATATCTATAAAATGTTAATAAGAAAGAACTCAACTCTCTAGATTGCTTATTGAAAATAAGTCTGGAATTACGGATTAATTTATGCTTGAAAATGTGGAGTAGTCAAACAAACCACATAATTAAAAAAGCATAATACAGGAGTCCCAAAACCAACAGTTTCCTGTGTGCAACGTTTTTGCACATATTGCTTAAAACTAGTCTGTTAATCCAAAACCAAAATGTGTCCTAATGCAGAAGAAAGGTACATTTTTGGAATCTGTTTCTCACAGTTTGGGATTCAAAAAAAGAATGTTCTATCTTTTGGTGCTTGCCTGTAATCACTGAATCATGATCAAAGTTTCCTGGTGGGTAAGATCTAAGATTCACTAAATCAGAGTTGACAACTCAACTCTTGGAGTTGCTACATGCATCATATGTAGTGAAAAAATATGTAAAATACATATGATTTATTAACTGTGATGCATTTTGTATACATCGCTGGTAATTAATAAGTGTGTATTTCGTCACAAATTCAAAATCCTTGACAGAAGTCAAAAGCTGAGTCCAGATTTTATATATATATAAAATCAGTTTTTAATCTTAAAATATATATTTATAAAGCTGGAAAACAAGTTTCTGCTATACCTATAGATCTCATTTGCAAAATGCCAGAAAACTGCGATTTCCATAAATGACACAAACTTTATAAAAATACCTGTAGACTCCTGGAATTTTGTGAGTAATTCATTTACACTGCCAAAACAGAAACAAACTTCAATAACTCTTTCCTTCTATCTATAACACTAAAATCATTTTAATTTGAAATGTGTAATTTTTAGATATAAATACTCTTCTGCATGAAGAATTCTATCTAGATACTTCCAGGCAAAGAATTTGAACATAAATTTGTTTACAAACCTAACATCTTTGTCAAATTTTCTTAGATCTTGGGATAGATAAAAAGTACACAGAAAATTAATGTTGTAGAATAATATGCAATAGGGAAATCCTTTATAATACATGCAGATTGTAATTCCTGACAAGGTAAAGGTTATTCTTGGTCAAATTCACAGCACAAAATAATTTATTTACATATTTAGTCACTATGTTATTGAAAATGTATGACTTTGACATGTCTTTTTCTAAAATCATGTATTTTAAGCTTCTGCACAGCAAAAGAAACTATTATCAGAGTGAACAGACAACTACAGAATGGGAGAACATTTTTGCAATCTATACATCTGACAAAGGTCTAATATCCAGAATCTACAACGAACTCAAACAAATATACAAGAAAAAAAATCCCATTAAAAAGTGGGCAAAGGATGTGAACAGATACTTCTCAAAAAGACATTTATGCAACCAACAAACATGAAAAAAATCTCAACATCACTGATGAGTAGAGAAATACAAATCAAAACCACAATGAGATACCCTCTTATGCCAGTCAGAATGGCATATATTAAAAAGTCAAGAAACCACAGGTGCTAGCAAGGCTGTGGAGAAATGGGAATGCTTTTACACTGCTAGTGGGAATGTAAACTAGTTCAACCATTGTGGAAGACAGTGTGGTGATTCCTCAAAGACCTAGAACCAGAAATACCATTTGACCCTGCAATCCCATTACTGGGTATATACCCAAAGGAATATAAATCATTCTATTATAAAGATACATGCACACATATGTTCACTGCAGCACTATTCACAATAGCAAAGACATGGAAACAACCTAAATGCCCATCAATGATAGACTGGATAAAGAAAATGTGGTACACATACAAAGGAATACTATGCAGCCAGAAAAAGGAATGAGATCATGTCCTTTGCAGGGACATGGATGAAGCTGGAAGCCCTTATCCTCAGAAAACTAACACAGGAATAGAAAACCAAATACCACACACTCTCATTGTAAGTGGGAGCTAAACAATGAGAATACATGGACACAGGGAGGGGAACAACACACACTGAGTCCTGGAGGAGGGAAAGGATCAGGAAAAACAGCCAATGTATGTGAGGCTTAATACCCAGGTGATAGATTGATAGGTGCACCAAACCACCATGGCACACATTTACTTATGTAACAAACCTGTATGTCCTGCACATGTATCCTAGAGCTTAAACTAAAAAAAAAAAAAAAAAAAACATATATTTTATCAGTTCAGAATGCTTCATATTGTACCTTTAACGGATTTTAAATCCCCCTTTAAAATAAGTAACATATTTTCACTTTCTTTGGTTTAGACTTTTTCTGAAATCATCTACCACTATCTACAATTTATCAACTTTTGTCATTATTTTAAAGACTGTCTGGAATCTTTTGTGTTCTTTTGTTGCTTAATTTTGTTTTCGGCCAGGCACAGCAGCTCAAGCCTGAAATCCTAGCGCTTCGGCCTCCTTGTTGAGGAGTTCAAGACTAACCTGGTCAACATAGTGAGATCCCAACTCTTATCAAAAAAAAAAAAAAAAACTTTTTTATTTTGAATGGCTTAATTGCAATATGTTTGTCTTTCAGTAGGGAAATGAAAATTAATCTCATTCAGAGGTAGTGTAAAAATTTAAGTTTTCCTCTTCACCTTACTTTCATTAGCTACTTTCTTCAGTTTCCTTTTTTTTCCATTTTTTCTGACTTGATGAAATTATCATGCATTCCCTTTTTCCTCGTTATTAATGTTAAAACACATTAGGTTTATGCTACACTCTACTCCTGATCAAGACTTTTTAACAATATTTTCTTCGAATTCTACATAGCAACCACCACAAAGAAGCAAATGACAAAAGAGAAGGCTTTGCTCTCAGACTGAAAAGTTTTTCACCATTAACTAGTATTCCAACAACTCGGTCTCTTTAAATTGCATGTACTTCAAGGGTGTAAAACTTCTTTAGGTCTAAAAGCTTCTCCTTTTCTTTAAGAAATATGTTAATTTATTCCAATGACTTAAGTAAGCTTTGAGTAAACTTGAACTTTTTTTTATCAAGTATTTCAAAATATACTAAAGCTTTATCACAGACACACACTGACTTTGCTCTCTCTACTAGTACCATTAATTCTTCTCTAGGATTCAAATAACACCAATTAAATGTCACTTCTAAAACCATTTTAACTTCACTTTTCTGAAGCTGAATTTTTGCTCTGAATCCAATAACTCTGTCATATACCTTAATATATTTTCCAAATGATCACTGCATTTTTTTAATGAGTGAATTCAAGCGCTCAAAATGTCAGTCAAGGATATCACTTTTTGAAGCCAATAACTACAATTTAACAAATTTGCAAAATAAAAAATTACCCACGTGGAATAATTTAGATTTTTCCTTTTTTGCTTATAAACCTTCCTTTGGACTGTCCACATAATCAGCAATAAAATAGCTTATCACATTTCTTCACCTAAAGGTGAAAAGAAGGTACTGTAGGAGCTTGGATTTAGCTGGGCTTGCCATTTTAATTTTTAATATAATCATTTAATGTGAAACTCCAAACCACAGGCAAGTTTTAATTTACAACTGCTTCTCCATGAATAAGACAACCTGTTGCTTGGAGTATAGTTTTAGACTGAACTTAATGGAAAGCCTTTACATCTTCTGTCATTACCTGTCCCAAACTTCCACTCTGTTTCCGTATCTTGTGTGTTTCAAAGTATTCACTTATCATTTCAAATATTTCATCCCCAGTTGGTTTGGGAACTTCTCTTTGCCAAGCAAATAATGTCTTCTAGGTTGTTCTTTATGGATTCTATACAGTTTTCAAACCGAGGATCATTATAAACATTTATGAATTCATATCTGAAATGAATGTCTTTTTGATTAAATAATCTGGATTAGTGTTGTGTCTATGTCATTTGACAAATCTTCAATGTATCTTCTTTTTTTTTTTTTTTTTTTTGAGACGGAGTTTCACTCATGTTACCCAGGCTGGAGTGCAATGGCACGATCTCGGCTCACCGCAACCTCCGCCTCCTGGGTTCAGGCAATTCTCCTGTCTCAGCCTCCTGAGTAGCTGGGATCACAGGCACGCACCACCATGCCCAGCTAATTTTTTTTTTGTATTTTTAGTAGAGACAGGGTTTCACCATGTTGACCAGGATGGTCTCGATCTCCTGACCTCGCAATCTACCCGC